TTTCAGGCGGTGCCTATAGGAGAATTATTGCAGCTTACCGTTCTGATCGGATGTTTTCCATATTTTCTTCCATCAACAGCAGGCGAATGCAGGAGTAGTGCCCTAACAAACGGGCCACGGACTGCGCGCGATCTTTCCTCCTTCTTCTTTGTCCCATAATCACCTCTTTCTTACGCACTTACATGCACTACACTAATCCACTGGGAGACCTGCCGGGAGCTTAGAGCTTTTCCCAGCCTGGGCGGTGTCCCTCTGGGAGAAGAATCCTTGTTGAAGGAAACCCCGACAGCCGATGGCAGGCCACCATCTAGTGGTTTGCGATCGCCCCCTCCTTCCGCAATAAAAACATGCGTTACACTTACGGGACTAACGAACTTAGCAGTTGACGCCGGAATCAGTAATCAATCAATCTTTACGACCATTGTTTTGTTTGTGTCATGTTTTAACACTTCCCAAATGTTTCAATTATTGTGTCACTACTGTATCCCTGACGCCGTTCCCTCTACTTCCATCGCCACAGTTTCCCCCACTGCCGCGCCCAGGGAGTCGGTGAAACCCGAATCCCCGATGGGCATTTTTGGCGGTGGCGTTTCAAAGCCCGACCGCGGCCACGTGGCTTGGGAGCCTGGGGAATACCATTTGAGCCCCGACAAGATTTAGGAAAGCTCGATTCAAATGAATACAGCAGCTGCTGCTGCTCCACCGTTTCGGTTAATTTCAGCTTTGATTTGGCGAGTGCGTGGAAATCAGCTGATGAGGGATTCAAGTAAAGCCAATAACTTTATAGCATTTTTTCAAAGCGCAATAATACGCTTTTAATAGCTCTGACGGCTATCAAAATACGGTCAAACAGAAAAAAATAAGGTTTTTGATAATTTATAAACGCTACTTTGATATTTTGTGTCCTACATAAACATGCCTTTACTTTCAGAATAAAGTTATTTTTTTAAGAATAATTTTGATGTTTGTTTAGCACAGTACATGCTCAGACACAGATGAAGAGACAGACGGGCATACAGACGATTTTTCATCACGTGTTCGGTATTAAGGAGCGTCAAAACATGAATTTTGGCTACACCGCATATTAGAGAAAGTAATTTATTGGCATGTGGTTTATCAACTTTTTCGTTACCAGGACCCGACAAGTTTTTCAGTTATTCAACTTAAAGGTTTTTTTATAATATTTTATTTACTGCGATATATAATGATTGTATTTTTGCTTTCATACTTGTTTCTCGTCGTCTGCAAACGAAATTTGCTTATTCAAGATCGAAATTTTTGCGCCTCTAAAACATTCAGACACTTTTATAAAGAAAAGAAACATTGTCAAGGAGAGGCAGATCGACTGAGTGAAGTCAGTTTGATGCGATGGTGATACAAAGATTTCTTATTAAGAAAGTAAATTTTATCTTTCGCGCCTATTTTGAAACATGATGTCTCGCGCGTTATACTTTTTACAACATCCAGAATTTTTAGCATTTCTATTTTTGATAAAAGTTTTTTCATTCTAACAACATTTATTTGAGTGTTTTACATAACGTCGAATAGCAGTGAGAATTCATAAACAATGAAAATATTTCCATAATTTAAAATCTATCTTTAAGATTTAACTAAGGGAAAAATATATCTTTGTAATATTGTGAAGGTAAAAAAGACGTAGACAATTTTCAATATTTGCAATTTTCGAACAAAATCAGAGTTTTTAACCAAAATGAAACATGCAACTTTCTCTTTAACGCCCTTCACGCTACCAAAAAAAAATTAAAAACGATGGAACAATATTTTGAAAATTTTGTTTGAAAAAATGTCCCATTAGCTTGATGTAAAGTACTACCATAACTAAAATATCGATTTAAAATTCAAGAGACTGTGACATCATTCAGATTAATAGGGGTGTATCAATTTTGAGAAAAATCGGCTGGACGGTTAAGCATTGTTCCCAGACAGAAGAACAGACAGACGTTTTGCCGACATTCTATTTTTCGGTATCAAGGACCCACACAACAGGGATTCTGGCTACACCACGTCTTAGATGATATTTTCCTAAATTTATCTACTGGATATATCCACTTTTTCCTTACGTTTTCACACTTAAAGTACCAGTTGAAAATATTATCACCAGAACTCGCGCGTTGTTATATGTACAACCTTTATTCTCACATTCGTCTCCTAGAACTCAACAAACGATTAAAGTAATCTCTTTTTTCGCTATAACAATGAAGTATGAATAAACGAATATCTAGCAGGAATTCACTACAGAAGCGCAACATTTCATGTAACTATGAAAAATGTTCCATTGTAATTTTTACAACAGCACAAGTGCGCGAAGGTTATGAAGGGAAGAAGTTGCATACATTTATGAGTGAATAGCATTTCATTCTTGAAGTTATATTTTCAGACATCTCGTCTCAACATTTTCACACGTTTTCTTCACATCAAATCTTCAAAAACAACAACAACAAAACACTTAGTCGAATTTGTTACAAAAGTACAAACATTAGATGACACCCAATTACGTAGAAGTGCACTCATACTCCTTTACTACTGCTTTTTCGAAATTGTGATTATATTTTTGTAGCTTGAATTTTGTCCGTTGGATAAATTATTAATGCTTGTTATCCACTCAAAGTAAATACACTGAATTCCACTTCAAAAGCCGGATTAGTTAAAACAAAAAGAAAATATAGATGTTTTGAAATGGTATACAACAAATCAAACTTCCAAATTAATAATTCTTTTTGGGGTATTTTGAAATACACAAATAATATATAGTATTATGTAACTCATAATGAAAAAAGTTAAATTTACCAATTTCCAAAACCCAAACTTTCTCTAACTACCCCTCCCCGAATCCTAAAGTCACTTTAAACAACCAAATGGAAGTTTAATTTTTAATTGCTTATCTGAAAAATATTTTTGGTAGTATATTTTCACACCATAAATAATAATACGCTAAAAACAAAACAAGTTCTTATCTTTCTCTAGTTCTACAAACGTGACAAAACAATCATGGGGAAGTAAGAAATTATAGATTCTTCGATACCCAAAATAAAAGTAGAAGGAGAATAATGAGATATTTGAATGTTCTAGAACACACGTTAATCACTAAATCATTATCTTTGTAAAAATGGTGATTACAAGAAGAACATCTTTGTACCAGTATACGCTCACATTATTATATATCACAGAAATATTCTTAGAAGCTATGTGCATTACCCTGTATCACAGCATTTACAGAAATTTACCACTTCACTCATTTAAGACACCAGTTTTGTAAACTTATACCCAATGATAAAATTATATGGTTAAAATAAATGCTACTCCGAAAATTCTCATTTAAATAAAGTCCCAGACTTCTCCGTACTTTGGATTCCTTAAAAATGCTTTCTTGTTTCAGTTTCGTTCAAAGACTAGCGCGAGTACTGATACTGCGCATGGTTTACGAATCGTATCAATACCATGAAAATAGAACGAAAGTAAAGGAATGAATTTCATCCTTAGTTCAAAATTGGACAAATATAATCTACTTGCACAAGCCCTCCCTCCGTCCCGGCCCCTTGTGTTCCTCCTCACCCTGCTCCCACCCTGCCTCACTCTAATCACTCCGCTCAGCCTCCCCCCCCCCCCGCTCCACCCCTCTCGCTCACAGCATCAAATCCATTGCATGTTACGTATACTCAATACAATCAGGGCGACTATCAAACTGATACGATAACAGACGACGTTGGCCTGGCTAAGATACCAAAATCATTAAAATCAGTTGAGCTCACTAAATGTAAATAAATGTCTTTTTTATTTATTTTCTTCCCGTTCGACTTTTGTCTTTCAGGGGTTTTGACGGGTACAATGTTACATACAATGACATTACTTGGTCATCCTCACGTAAATGCGGGTCTCGGAATAACCCTTCACTATGTTTTTAAAATTTCATATTTGGATATCTTCACTAAGAGAAGTTTGTATTTGTGGTTTAGAGGAGAAGGGAGAGTGTTTTGGGTAAAGGGGGCAAATAATTTTATGAATTAGGGTGGGCTAAAATATCTTTGTGGAATCTGGATCTAATGCGTGATGGATAATGTGCGTTTGGGCCGAGATTAAATATTGGAGTGTTGGGGCATGCTGGGAGGAGAGAATTATATTTTTCAGAGGTTTGTGAGATGAATTCTGAGAGGAGAGGTATTTGAAGCTCTGGGTGATTTGTGAATTTGAAATGAACCAGGGGGCTTTCAAGGTTTGTCTTGAAAAACTAGATAAATGTCATCCACCAACTGCTTGTCCCGTCACGAACAGCTGATTGGTTCGGCGAATGTTCGCTCCCTTTAATGTGCCCTAAAGACCGACACGCGGTGGGTAGGGCGAATACCGAATGTTCGGCGCTCGGCGAATCGCAAGCAACCCGTCCACACTACTCGGGATTCGGCGAGCGGTTGCTCGGGATTCGCCGAATACCACATGTGTGGGGAGCCGCCTTCACTTTCATCAATATTTATATACATAGTTATGACTTTCGTGGACACAACAACAGCCGTCCGAACGCCTTCCCTCTTCCGCGAACAAACGCACGTGGGCCAATTCCCGAACCCCACGCACGCCTCCGCCCGCGCACTTCGCGTCTAATTAATATATTCGCAGGTGCGGACGCCCCCGCGCGTGCGGCGGAGCGCACGCACGCCCACCCACGCGCACGCGCGTGCGGCCGCGATGAATATGCATGCGTGGGAAGGGCACGGGTGAGGGGATGGGGGGGGGGAATGGGGCATGTGTGCGTCGTAAATTAATACGTCAGCGGACCCCACCCGCGGCTACCACTACATCCCCGTTCACTAGCGCTCCTCGCGGCGCGGTTAAGTGCACCCGCGTGCGTCCTTAAGCGTTCGTATTCATTACGGCGCGTTTTGCTCGGGAGTGAGCGCGTCTTTTGTTAGTTGGCGGCGCCGCCGCGGCGCTTCGGAGAGCAGATACCATCGCCGGCAGCGCGACTACGCCGCCGCGGCTTTTACTCACCGGGTCGTTAGTTGGCCGGGCCGGGCCAGAGTTGCATATTCAGCACGCAGGGCAGATGCGTTTCGCCTGAAAGGAAAGGAATTTGTCAGTCGTGTGAGAAGTATCTTACGCGTTGTGTGTGAACTTTAAACAGTCAGGAGACAATTGTGGGGAAAGAAGAGAGGGAACAATAAGGGAAGAGAAAGTGAAAATTATAACAGAAAAAAGAAGAATATTTGGGGTTATTAAATGAGTTGGAATGTAAGGGTAGAATATTATAAAGATGCAATAGATATGTATACACATGCAAAAGTACATATAGAGAAAAGATACATAACTATATTGTAAAGGTAAAATGAAATGTGGATTGAACAAATAAAGAAGATATTTGAACCTTTTTAATAAACTATATTCATTCAACAGAAATACATATGCAAAGTAATAATCGAACATTAAATGTAATAAAACCCTTTGAACTAAAGTTCGACGTAAACCTTTAAGAAAATTTGAACTATAAACACACAGCGAATGGTAATAAAATGCCAGTTGATTAATACGCGATATCACATAACAAAACCAAACTGCGTATTCCATCTACCCTGAGCTATAAATCCGGTCTGTCTGTTTCGGCAATCCATACAACAATAGTGACCATACTCAAAGCTCTGAGGTCGTAAAAGTCCATTTACGAACGCATGATCATTATTCAGTGTGAATAGTCAAAATCATAGATGATTTCCTCATTGTTTCGAGTTGGTTTTCAAATGACATGTTGTTATAGAATACCATCGCATTTGATACAATAATTTCTCATTGCTATTTATTTTTAAAATTTGAAACAAACAATTATGACCCAATATATAAAAATCTTAATAATCTCTATAATAATCAGTTTAACAAATGTAAAACATGCGTAACATACACCAACTTTCGGACAAGAGGCGTGTGCGATCATAATTCGATCCGATAGCATTTAAAAATATTAAAATGAAATAGTGTACTTGTACGACGTTGAAGAACAGTTTTCAAATATAAAATTACTAATTTTACCTTAAAATTATTTATTATGAATAAAATACGCGAAATTGTACTTTTTGTTTCGAGGATTGTTGTCTGACCTGTCTATAGACTTGACACATGTTTCTTTACGAATATGGACGCGCTGAACTCGAATCTAAAGCCAGAATTGCGCGACAACCTTCCAAAATGTTGTTAAATGACGAAAAATCACCGTGAAATTATAGCTTAAAAATTAAATTCTTTTTATTATATGAAAATTTAAGACATTTCTTTATTACTTAAAATGAAATCGCTTCGGAAAATAAATCATTGTTGTGAAACTATGTTTGTTTTTAGAACTAAAACTTAGTGAATATATCATTAAATTCAATATTTAAGGCAATGCGATAACAAATATTAGTAACCAATAGTTTTAAAAATAATTATTCCGAATAATAGGTTACTGGCTGGAAACTTTTCTACCATCCAGCGAAATATTAGTTTAATTCTTTATTAACTCTAGATAAGTTCATTTCTGTTCGCCAAAGCCAAGAAACAGCCTCTCCGTCGGCCGAGCGCCGAACCGAACTCGCGCAAAGGGCACCGGCGAGCCCGGGGCAAAACCGTTCCTCTCCGAGATCTCGAACCCGGGATCTGGCTCGGGAGGAGATTGGAAGCCGTTACAGCCGGGCGCCGTCTGGGGCGCTGCAAGCCTTTCTCGCCGCCTTCGTCCATTCTGCACCTTTCGGCCGGCCGTGATGGATGTACTCAAAGGGCGGCTTAAGGGCCGCCGCCGCCCCGCCGCCCTCCTCGCCAGCCCTCCACCGCCATCACCGGCCGCCCCGCCCCCCGACGCCCCGCGTTCGCGCCGCTGAAAGCTGTCGCTGGAAAGAGATCCGGCCCCGGTAGCGGGCGTGGGGTTGGCACGCCTGCCAGACCGCGGCGCCGGCCGGCCCGCCCCGCCTCGGCGCCCCGCTATTGCCTTATATGCGGCTGTTACGCCCCCCGCCGCCGCCGCCCGCAGGCAATAACGGCATCGCGAAGGGCGTCGGAGTATCGAGCCGCGAGACCCGCCCACCGGGCCCTCCGTCTTCGCTGCGGGTCACCGGGTCGCGCTCCGCACGAGGGGGCCATCGAGCGAGGGGGGGGGAGGTGTACGGTGGCGGGCGGCGGCCGACAAGATGGAGGCGAGAGACTCACATTCGGAGTCGTTGGGAAACACAGATTGAAAAGAGTAAATAAGAATATAAAATGTAAGACAAGTAATAATGCCAATGAGGGAAAGAGGATATTCACCGAAGGAAATTCCCCGGCTGAGGTGGCGCAGGGTGTTCAGCATCTTCCTCCGCGAGGTTCTAGAGTTCGAGGCTAGACGGTGGCAAGATATTTCACACTGGATTGATAGCTAGATCGAATTCAGCCCCTGGCTACAGGAAAATTCTCGAGACCGTGTACTCTGATACATAGTATTCCGCAGTTTCTCCGTTCAACAACAAGATAATGCCGGAGCAATTCTCTAACAAAGAGGCCACGAACCGTGCGCGATCTTTCCTTCCTCATCCTCGTCCAGTCATCATCCTTAAACACACACACATACACACACATTACATTATCATCCGTATCGGGAGTTTGCAGCAATTCCCCTCTGGTGGAAGATACCTACACGGGATAAACATTGCATACAGACGTGTAGGTTGACATCGTATTTAACTACCCAGTAGGTAAGAAACACCGCCACTTCCCTCGATGGAACATGTACTACACTTACATGACTACTGACCATAGCAATTGAGACGTCCTGAAATAATCAAACTGAATGATATTAGCGACCCACATGAGACTACTAATGATATTACAGACGAGAAGGGAGAGGCGAGGATACAAAGGAAGAGATAAAAGGAGAAACGAGATGAGATACGCCAATGGAGAGGAGAGAAACACGAACAGAAATTATTAGGGAAAAAGCACAGCGAGTTGCCGATAGAGGTACAAGATAAGCTGCAAGATAAGACACGGTTTGGACCAGACTGAAGGTGTGACAACGAAAATTCATTTTTGTAAAAAATTGAGTGCTGATATACGAAACCTCTAAGACGGAACCCCTGTAAGACAAAAACCTGCCATCACGGACAAAAAATCTGAGAACGGAATGATTTTATACGCAAAAATGACCTCAATAAGCCGGAACTTAGCCTAACACGAAAACGGAGTGGTATTTAGAAAACAAACAAAGTAACAGCTGGCTAAGACTGAATTTAATTTTTAAATTTCCGACTCTATCTTTGGAATGCCATGGTACGAACAGAAGCTGAGAAAATAGAGCAAACGGCAAGTTATTCAACTTATGCCTGCTGATGGGGAATCTTGGGCGAACACGGCGACTTTCTTGCTGCAACTTTCTCGCATTTTACTGTGATTTTCAAAATCCTAACCAGACTTCAGTGCTATTACCCCGAATTCTTAATGTTAACCGTGCGCACCCGTTTCAATTCTTAAAAGTGTTCCCCAATTCCTTTGTTAAATGTAAATATATGAAGAAAAAAATTCTTTCTAAATTTTAGCAGAAATGTGAAAAGTCATGAATCTACCCTAATGGCAATGAAATAAAACAAAAATAAAGAAGCTGTGGCTGAAAGTGTTACTGTGGGAGAAAGTAGAAACTGTAGCAAAAGCAAAGAGAAGATAGTTAATTTGACAATAAATGGAGGCAGATATATTTCCAAAGGTTTAGGCAATAAAAAGTGTATATGTTTAAACAGGACAATGATTCCTGTCAGCCATATCATCGCAACAACTGGAAAGTATGAATAATGATACTGGGAATCCGGGAAGGCTGTCATATTATCCTTTATTTTGTCCAGCACCTATAATTTTCCCGTGTTTGCTGTTGACTTTCTTAAAATTCCTACAATATTTTCAATGATAAATTATGCTTTATTTTTAGTATTTTGTTTCACACAAATTTCATCGGCCGTGTTGTACTTAAATCATATGGCGAATTTGTGGCAACACTCTACAAGAAAGAAACCTATCAAAACAGACTTTTTCCAAGAAAATGCGAGGTTCCGTCGTAGACAAGTTTTACTGTAAAAGCACTAACAAAAATTATTGGATTTTATGTAGGAATCAAGTAAAGTAAGTAAAAAATAAATGTAAAGAAGACAGTCAAGAACTATTAAATGCGTTTCATTCTTTGATACCTTTTGACAGCTTTAAATATAGATATTTATCAATTTTCCATTTTAAAACAATATATTTGGGCGCACTTCATCCTCTTCTAATAAAAGTGAAACAGTATTCTTCTTATTCACGAAAGGACAAACTCTCTGTAGACTGACTACCCAAAATTATCAACAAAGGACCTTAAACTCTCCCCTTTACATAAATCGTGACCAATGTTTTTATTTTTATGTAGAAGATTGATATACCTGCATAAAATGACCGTAAAATTGTAAATACAAAGCACTCAACGTAAGTGAACAAAACTTTTTTACGACCTATGCAACCACGTTTAGAAGTTAAAGATCAGTAGGAGATACAGCAGTTTTGAGGAGCGATACACGAGGTGTATATTAAGGTCTTCTAACAAAAACGTTACTACTGCACATGAACCTCTAAGTAAACTGCACCAAAAGATTTACGATTTCAAAAGCTATGACTCCCATTCAGTTGCATTCATTATTTATAGAAGCCAGCATAAACAAAGGGCAGCTTGAAATTACTGGGTTTGTGAACAGACCCTCATCGTATTCAATGACAGTTAAGTACCAAGGAAAACGAAGGGTTTAATAGTCATATGTCGAGTAAAAAAGATTGCGAACCAAACCATTCGTGGACTCGTTAATTAACTTTTCTGGAGTGTTGTGCAACACTGAATAAACCGTCGGAATTATTTACAGCAATATTTCAATGCATTGCAAAGAAATAATGATTTTTCATGGCAATAAAAGTTTCGTATTTGAAAGTGTTTATTTAGTTTAATTATTCAAGTGTTCATAAAAAGTTTAGATATTTCATAATGTGTCTTTTGTAACAACGAAGTTCAATAGTGAAAGACAAAAATAGTATTTAATTGTAGAGGTTTGACA